AATCTATGTGGCTTAGCAACCTAACCCGAATTATCTTTTCGAGTAACTTAACGACTATGCTAGTTAGACTAACAGGCCGGTAGTTAGATACTATCTGTCGCTGACCGTCCTTAAATATAGGACTAACTATAGCGTCCTTCCAATCTCTAGGGAGTTGAGCGAGTGAGAAGGACATGTTGAAGAGTGTCGCAAGCGGTTTTTAAATAATGTCCGCAAGAGATGACAGGAACCGTGGATGTAACCCGTCAGGGCCCGGTATCTTACCAGGTTTGAGGTTAGTTATCAACTGAAGGACAGTTTCCTCAGTCACCTGTACAGATTCAATGGTTGGTATCTCGGTGTGAGTGGGACAAGTATTTGTTACAATAAACGTTACAATAAACTTGGTCGACTTTTACTTGATTTATTTAGTTAAGGTCTGAGAATCCTTTTACATATCCTGTTTTTGTCACCGTTCTAGTTGATTTTCAAGATGGCTAGATCTGCCCATAAATGTGGACAACCATATTGGTTATTCCGCGTGGAGGAAGGGATGCAATGTGATGAGTGTAATAAGTGGTTCCATAAGATGTGCACTCGATTAAGCCCCACTGCATATAAAAGGTGCTCAAAGCCCAACTCTCATTGGCTTTGTAGTTTTTGTTGCTCGAGCAAAACGTTGCTTATCCAGGAAGCAATTGGTCTCCTGGTGTTGGATAATAAGAAGGTTTATGAGGGCTGTACTGGAAACATTGGTACTGATGGCGAAGATTGCGTTAGTGTCGTAAGTGCTGTCACGGCGCAAGCCAGACATCTAACTGTGCAACCCGCTATTAAACCGTCTACCCCGAAACAATCAATGAGTGACACCTCATTAGATATTGGTGGCCATGCTGCTACAGCAGCAACCGGTGACCCAGATAAAACAATTACTGTCCCGAGTGGTTCTAATGTGGATAATACGACTGATGGAATATGGATGACGCGGAAACGCAGAAGAGTAGGAAAGATAGCTAAAACTAATGACTGTTTACTTGATAAGTCCTTGGTGGACTCTCAGACCACTCCGCCAAAGTCCCATAGTAAAGCTTCGTCTGACATTGTTGTGAGTCATTCGCTTGACTCCCAGGACTCTGTTACAATAAAAACTAATCGTAAGATACCAGTAGTTAAAATACAGGATCTAACGTCACGGTCGAAAGCTGTGAACACAGTTTCAAAAGAAGCTAAACCCTCCCTAGTTTAATTATTTGGAATCTAGAGGAGTCGAAAGACAACGACCCTGCTAAGAGACATGCACATGACCTGCAGTTAGTGGAGTCTGTGGTAAGGAACGTACTACCTGAAGAGGTTTCAGGGGTACATATTACAAAAGTAATACGACTTGGTAAATGGGTTGGAGGCGAGACCCAACCAAGAAGAATCCTGAAGCTGGTTCTCGGGAGTTTTGAAGAAAGAGACATATTATTGAAAAGCGCACTAAAAACTCGTGCCTCAAATATCCGTATTCGACCAGATTGGCCGCTTGAGGATCGAATCAAGTGGAAGAATGCTCTTACGGAGTTGAGGACTCCCAAAATAACCTTACCATTAAGGGTTTTCGGGTAGTCAGGTCTTGGAAGCCAATGCTTCCGAGGCCTGTATGGGTAGAACGATTGATTTCCAAAACACCTTAAGTGTGTGCTACACGAACGCTCGTAGTCTTAGAAATAAAACGTCCGAGCTAAGTCTGATGGTGCAAGAATTATGTCCCGATATAATCGTTGTTACAGAAACTTGGTTCACCGTTGATATAGACTGTTCTCCTTTCATTGCTGGTTATATCTGTATCAGAAGTGATAGAGTTTCAAGTCGCAAGGGGGAGGTATAATATTTTACGTTAGGGATCACTTTCGTATACAATCAACCATATCGGAGGCTCATATCAGTGGCACATGTGAGGTTGCATGTTGTAAGATTAAATCTAGAAATGGGTTAGTGACTATAGGGGGAATATACCGTAGTCCGTCTTGTCTGCTGACGACTTTATCCTAAGACACATCTGTTCTTGGAGTATGGCAGAATGTTGTCTCATCATTGGGGACTTCAACGCACCGCATATCAACTGGATAGAGCTTACAGCTCCAGGTAGTGGTTTCGATAGCGACCTTTTATCTACCGTTATTCAGTGTGCACTTGTACAATGTATCACAAAACCGACACATATTGATTTGCATCATGATCCGTCACTGCTGGACCTCGCCCTCACCCACCACTCTGAGGATGTCTTTGATATCCAGCACCTTCCTCCACTAGTGAACAGTGATCACGTTGTAATTCACTTTAAGTTTAGGACACATGGTATACAATTCGTATCTGCTCCACCCCGTCCCAATATCTGGCGAGCTAATATTCCGGAAATCAGAAACTGTGCTATCTCGACTGATTGGTCGGTCGACGCGGATGGATTGATCGAAGATGAATGGAATAAGTTTAAGGCTACATTCGAGTCCGTAACGTCGCCGTTTATCCCATGGTCAGCACGTAAGCTATCACATTGCCCTCCATGGATTAATAAGGAAACCCGGAAGCTGTTAAAGCGTAGGAAACATTTCTGGGACTTATTCTTGTTGACAGGTCATGCACCATTTAAGCGTGAGTACAAAAATACCGTAATATCTGTAAGAAAACCATAGCGAAATCCCGTACCACTTACGAACGACAGTTAGTATATGATAGCCGTACTTGTCCGAAACGATTGTTTTCGTATGTTAAACGGCAAATGAAACGTAGTGATGGTATTCCCCCGTTACTGTTACACGAAAATTCAGAATTACTAGCTGAATCAGATCGAGCAAAAGCTGAGACTTTTTCAGATTATTTTAGCGAAGTCTTCTCTACGTTTATTGTAACAAATACTTGTCCCACTCACACCGAGATACCAACCATTGAATCTGTACAGGTGACTGAGGAAACTGTCCTTCCGTTGATAACTAACCTCAAACCTGGTAAGATACCGGGCCCTGACGGGTTACATCCACGGTTGCTGTCATCTCTTGCGGACATTATTTCAAAACCGCTTGCGACACTCTTCAACATGTCCCTCTCACTCGCTCAACTCCCTAGAGATTGGAAGGACGCTATAGTTAGTCCTATATTTAAGGACGGTCAGCGACAGATAGTATCTAACTACCGGCCTGTCAGTCTAACTAGCATAGTCGTTAAGTTACTCGAAAAGATAATTCGGGTTAGGTTGCTAAGCCACATAGATTTACACAATCTGTTAGCTCCTGAGCAACACGGATTTCGTAACAAGCGTTCATGCTTGACTAACTTGCTTATTGCGAGGGAGGATTGGACAGCAGCCCTAGATAACGATCTGTCGGTCGATGTGATATTCATAGATTTTAGCAAAGCATTTGACAAGGTTTTACACGCAGACAGAGAGTGAGGGTCAATGGAACGCTATCCGATTGGAAGCCGGTCAAAAGTGGTGTACCCCAAGGCACCATCTTAGGTCCACTGCTCTTCCTTCTCTACGTTAATGAGTTACCGCTGTTACTTAGGTCGTCGACATTATTGTTTGCGGATGATGTAAAAATCTGGAGAACAATAAAAAGTGCGGCTGGTCATCTAAATCTTCAAGCTTACTTGGACGATTAAGTAAGATGGGTTCGAGAGTGAGGCTTAGAAATAAATGATAAGAAGAGTGTACTAATGCACATCGGTCAAGGTAATAGTTACCGTTACACTATTGAGGGTAAACCTCTTCCTTGCGTTCGAGAGCATAAAGACTTAGGAGTAATATTAAGTCATGATTTAAAAACAACTGCGCATTGCAAAGCAGCCGCTGTCAAAGGTTTTCGTGCGTTATGGTCACTTCGCCGAGCGTTCAAATCTTTTGACGAGGAAACGTTTCGAATTTTATATCCCATATATGTTAGACCACATTTAGAGTACTGTATCCAAGCAGCTAGCCCGTGTCTGGTAAAGGATACTAACTCCCTTGGGCGTGTCCAGCGTGTGGGGACGAAATTAGTGAAGGGTCTTTCTAGACTCCCTTACGATGAGCGCTTAAAACGCCTAAATCTTTTCCCCTTGTCGTATCGTAGGACACGAGGTGACCTTATACTGGCATTTCGTATCTTTAATTATGATTTGGGTGTTAATATGTCTTATATTTTTGCTCCCTCCAGCACTAATAATATCCGAGGTCATAGCAAGAAAGTTCATAAACCACGATCTAATAAACTTAAAGTGGGATCCCGTTTTTCTCATCGAGTAGTCAATGATTGGAACGCCTTACCCGAACAATTGGTATCAGCCCCATCAGTGAATATTTTCAAAGAGAACCTGGACCTTGACTTGAAAGCAATGTGCCAGGATTAACACAGGTTCATCAACCTACTATCCTTATAACTGAAGACTGAAGACGGAAGTATGCTTCGATGCAATCAATACACAAAAGCAAAATCGAAACACTCAATACAATATCTTTTTAACTGGGGTAGATTCAATCAAAGTGTAAACAGTAGTTTTGATGCGTAATTTTCCATCAAAACAGTTAATTATCTCAACGAGAAACACTACCACTGTCCTTTTAAATAGATCGGGGCTTGTATCAATGAAGCTTTGTGTAGAAAATTACTAGCTTATGATGGTGCGAAAATCTAAAAGAAAAGCTATCACAAAAGTAACTTTGGCCATCATTCAGAGTATCTTTTTTAAATCTGCTCTAGTCCACAAGGACGTAATGGGGAGCGCGTTTCAGATTCGTCACCAATGAGGTGTTGTGTTTGCAGTTTGGAGTTCCAAAATCCATCCAATTCTCTGATTTTATGTGGCAACTGCAATACAACTGTTCACCAGGGATGTTATGGCGTACCGAAACTAACTGGTGTTAATAACTGGTTTTGTAGGAAATGCGAGTCGCAAGTTCGCATGAGCAAAATCGTAAGATACAGTCATATGTAAACTTATTAATAGCGTTGCGATTTGTGCCCAATTAAGGATGGTGCATTTAAACGCAGCAACGGCGTTCGATGTGGTAAGATTGGGCTTCATTCAGGATGTATTCCAGGACAGGTTGGGCCCATATCATCTGTGCAATATACATACCTGAAGTATTTTTCACTGATCTTAGCACCATGGAGCTTATATCAGTTGAGAACGTGATGCCTGATAGGCTTGGCCGGGTGAGTAACGTAATGACCAGTTATGCGGCGAGACTATAATTTATGGACGGACCAATTAAATATAAAAAAACGAGTCACGAATTTTTGCGCGGAATTCATCGGTACATTTGGCTAAATAGGGTTTTGGCATTATAGCTGATGTCAGTTTGCAATTAAAACCTTAGATCTAATTTTTAACCCTAAGTATCAACTGTAAATGATAATTCTGACTGCTTTATGACCCTCATTTAGTCCTAATCAATAGGTGTCCATCCCCAGGGTCACTTCAGCGTCGCTCAAAGGTCGTCCATATATTATAGTCTCACCGCCAATTTTTTACAAAGTATTCGCTTCTCTGGTGGTGAACATGTGTTATTAACCATGTGGAAACTCGGTGTGCGACTTTTTTCATATGCAGTACCACATGTTAGCTGTTAATTAGTCTTATTGGAAATTCAGATCTGAACCACACGAAGTATTCCTTATATGGAGACCTATGAAAAAGACAGTTTTCTCTATAAATTCATTGAAAATCAAGCTTGACACGTGATAACTGTCCTAAAAATAATCAAATCACTTGTAGTCAACAAAAAGAAGACTGGCGAAAACTAAAAAACTGAATTTACCTAGTATTTATATACGATAAAAGTCCAATACAATGACGACCTTAAGTAAACCAATCGGAATTAAGACAGTACCCTAATTATCTTGCGAAAAGTTTCAAGTTCAGTAGTAGGTAACGTGTATATCATCATTAATCACGTAAAAATGGGAAATTTTTGGTTCTTAGAATGCTTTTTTAAAATCAACCAAATATCTACTATATGACGATAAAGTGGATTTCAGATAGTTCTTAGGCTAACTTATTTGGCATACCTGCTTCTAAGGCACATTATGCGTCAAATTGCGTAATGCTGTTCACTACGTAATCAAGTGCTTAGTGAAGCCAGATAATGTTATCCCTTTCTTATTCTTGCTTTTAATCTCAACCCTAAGTTTTCAACTTTGTAAACAGGAAGGTGGCGAAGCATTGCATTGTAAATGATGCCAGTTCGTGTCGAAAACCCTGACTCCAATTTGTAGACTCAACTTAAAACTCCAGTTTAAACCTTAGTATCTAACCCTAAGCTTTTTGTTTTATAACTGATGTCAGTGGGTAGCGAACACTATGATGTGATAACCACATAGGGTTATAAAGTTACTAGCCCGACTCCTAGTATGTATGTATATATGTTGACTTGCTTTTTTCTTTATTGGAAGGGATAATTCGACTTGCGAAGACTAATTATTACGGTCAAAGCTGTTATTTCCTTATTTCATGTTGTTAGTTGTCTTATAATTAGGTGACACTTCCTGATCAGCTGACAAGTTGTCCAAGGTCGTTGGTATATAAGGTTTTACTCCATATACTACAATCTTTCTAAATATTTATGATTGTATGCTAAATACGAGTCCCATATATCACCGTACGATATGCTTGTTAAGCGCAAGTATAGGATAATCTTATTATTTATTTATTTATTATTTTAACACATATTGGTATAAGGAGGCACCAAATACATATGCGCTACACAGATCTCATTTGATATATGTGAGGGCTGTGATACTGCCCGGGTGCCCAGACCGAAGCGGGTGGTTATCTTAGAGGACCACGCCCGGAGCCTTCGACTTAAAGGTCCGACCCACAAGGCAGTGGAGCTATGTAAGGAGATGCAGTCCCATGGTAGCCGGTGACCAATAATTGGTTCATACGCCATTTGTTCCCTCAGGGTACTGGAGCCCATGTACATCATTGGTTTCGAATCAGGGTCTTCCAACTCTCCTAGGTGAACTCTCCATGTCCACCAGCTTGGTTAAAGTGCTGGACATTCGTGTTTCGTCCTCTCAATTTCGTAAACAACACCCTCGCAGCGAGAATGACTTCCCTGGCAGAGGCTATATACTCGTGGCCATGTGGGAGCATTTCGAGAGGGAGAGTGGACCCTGCTTACTCTCGGCCTAATTTCACGGAATATATAGTTCCAGACTCTTATTTTTACTTATAATCACGAGTAGCTTCACATTAAGACGACTTTTGAGTATGTATATGCCTGATTTATGTTCATAATGAAGGTAAATGAATCCTTTAGATTGTAGAGTCCTTTCACAATAAGTAGGCTTATAATTGTGTTGAGTTCGTCAGCAATGCTTTAAGACGACTGTGGAAATCAATCCTCACTGTCTTTTTAATCAGTTTCTTGTTATCATAATAGTATGGGACATTCTTTCGATATCCTTTTATGCCATTTTTTCTATGATGAATTGAATGTAACCATCAGTAATAACTACTACTTTTTAAAGGTTTATTACAAAGACAAGGGAGAATTTGTTAGGGCTGTCCCTTTATATCTATATTTATGTGGTCAAAAGTGTTGGCGTGCATATTTGTTACTATTTAGTCATTAGTAATCTAACCCCGCTTGTTATCCTAAAGATTCGATGTACTAGTTATGAAAAAGAATTAGCTTGTTCATTCCGTTTATTCTCAGCAACAGTGAGTATGACAGGATTGTGAGCCAAAAGTTTTGAGGGTTTGTGCTGCTGCTCGGTTATTCAAACCTTAAAGTAAAGTATAAACGGGTGAATTGTTGTTCCAATATCTTCCTAACAGTAAATTCTAACAAAATTCGCGATTTAGTGTGTTCAGAAATAAAGAATTTCATTGCTCTGTTCCTTACATAACATGTATTGTTCTAAATAAAATCAGATCATATTTATCAGAATATTGAAAATAGCTTCAAGATAGAGAATTCTGTAGACAGGCGAAGAAATTTGTTAAATTAACAGTTCAACGGAACTGTAGTTCGTAATAACTAGCGAGTTTCTTAAACTTCAGAATTTTTAGTCAAAAATTTTAATTGTACGTTAATCATAAAATAGTCCAAAGTAAGGTAGTACTAGGAAGATTATTGAATGGTTATACTTTAATAAAATGAATGAGTAGCCTATGACTTGTCACATCGCTACCACCACGATCGTTTCAGATTCACTTCACTAAACTAATTTCTCTGCTCGAAGCCTTGAGTGCTATCTCGATCTTGCCGTTCTTTTCAACTGTGTATGGGTTGATAACCAACCACAGTGAAATCAGGGATAACATAAATTTCATTAGTTAAGTGTTTCTGACAGAATACATTTTAAATAACTACTTAAACTCTATGGATACTGTTCATAGTTGATAATTGTTGTTGAAATTTCCCTCTAACTTTTATATTTTAAAGTCGTGTATATTTTGCGAAAGAAATCAACGAAGCTCTCTAGCGAACTACGGAGCTTGTATCCAATGTGCGTGGAAAAATTGCCGTTTATACTTTCATGTTTCTTGGTAAGCAATGACCGTTTTCTTACTTTAGCTTAAGTTCTGTTTCTTGTGGGATTTTCTTTGTTGCTCTTTTTTTGTACCGTCAGTTAGACTATTCTGTAGAAGCTACTCGTTAATCCACATGTTTTACCGGTTTTGAATGATCACATCCTTTTGGGTACTTTTTTGAAATCCAGTTCTCTTATCTATTACTGACTGTGATAGTTTGAATCTCTCTTAATGCATACCTTTAATGTTACTGCATAAAACGTTGGAATAATGGTTTCTTTTTTGGTTCGACTTTGAAGCCGTATTCCCCCATAACTGAGCTAGGGTTGACTAAATGATAATTCACTGCTCCGGTGCAGTTATATATCATGCGGTGTTTTAAGACTTTAAATTTAATTGATTGCAGACTGATCTTTATCAGGTTTATTTTCGTGATCGTCCATGAACAGTGGTATTAACTGTGACAACTCTCATGGGAATTAATACTTGTGTATTCGGACCTCCATTTCTCGCCACTGATTGACTCTATATGTGTGCCTGGAAAGTTGACTACTTCCTCTGTGAATATCACTCAGTTATCTATAAACCAATTTAGTCATAAAATTCCATTTGATAAGAGAAAAAGGGATGTTGACTATCTATAGTAAATAATTGTGCGCTTTATTTATAACATTTTCTAGAGAATTAGGTTCATGAATTCAAAAAGATCAATACAGATTTTTTTTAGATAATTGAATATCTGTTGATACAAAATTTTATATTAAGGTATTGGACTCCCAACGAAGTCTTGTTATTGTATTTGAATATGAGATGATATATATGTACAATCTGCAATTCCGTAGATATATAGTCTGTTTCCACTTTAAGCCAACAATAAGTAACCGGACAAATATTGTCGAATTTTATAATTTAGCTGCTTATACACATGAAAACTTAACGATAAAATACTTTCAAATGTCCCCGCGGACTAAACTTTGTTTATGTTGGTCCGTTTAGTGTTTCTTTATTTAAACATAATCTCTGTATCAAACGACACGTTTTTCTTCTCAATGAGTTACTTTTCAGTACAGGCATGCAGACGGAATCGCAGATGATAGTTCTAATGATGCCTTTTTTAAAGTGTTTTGCTGATTGTAGCTGCTACTTTGACGCGGTGGTCGGGATTGCCTTGTCTGTGCATTCAGTTGCTTCCAGGGTTCTTCAGTCACACTTCCACGTTGCTAAGAGTGCTATTAATCCAGTTCGCTTGTTAGGTACCTCAAAAAAGTATCCTTTTAAGGTGTGTAGTTAGGAAGTGATAACCACCCTGACACCTCTTAAAACATGCGAGATTTACTAATTTATAATCAAACCCCATTTTTATTACGATACACTTCTGCTTCCACTATCAACTCTTATCCTTTGTCCTCGACTTTTTCCACATGTGCTGCCAGGTCTAAAGATTCGAGTTCCCGAAATGCACTTCGAGATCTGCTGAGACGGCTATCCAAACTATATGTTGGACATGTGTTACGCATACTCAACTGTCACCAACCCCGACAGACTATGATTACCAGTGTATTAGGTTGGAAGAAAGTTAGGGTGGTCAGACTAAGATATGGGGTTACTGACAGGTAAGAACACGAAAAATTGGTAAGACCTATGCTAGGACACTGTGAAGACTATATCCTATAGACTGAAAAGTGACGCATATCCTGAAAAATGTGGGAACAGTTTCACAGACAATGTTTAAGGCACGCGGTTCGAAAATTACGATTTTTCCATATTAACTTACGGCAGATTAAGATGCGAACTATTCATAATGAAGTGACAAGAAAAGAAACTGGATATTATGTATGCTTTTTAGCCACATCAAAACAACTCAGAGGGGATAAACAGAGTTTGACAGTTAGTACAGATAGTGATTGCGTAATTAACTCTAAACGGTTAGAATCTATAAGCAGTGGTGGTATCTTCTGCTTAGTCATTGAATAAAGGGTAGACTTTTATGTAGTTTTAATATTATAACAAGAGTACATTCCAAATCTTATTCCACGATCACATATTTTGTTTAGTAATATCCATCACATCTGCATCTTACTGAACGTAGAAAAACCACAGCAAGAAAACTCCCTAGAGTTCGACTTAATAATGAGAAAGTTGGGAACATTTTTCAGGGACAACTAGAGAAAGATAGTCGACCGTGAAAGTGATATTCATCTCGAGGTAGCTTTGTATGGTGGGTAGCACGAGCGGAAAAAAATGGAGAAGACAGTAGTGATAGGTAACAGTGTGCAACTGTTCAAACTAATCGAGGAGACAGGTACTAAGAATCCAGGTGTTAGCGGAACTATCTCGGTAAAATATGGGGATATCATTCAGTCTCAATTCAGGAGATTGAACTGATGGACAAATCATAAGAATAACAAGCCTATTATAACAAATCAAGTTTAAGTGTAACTCTGTGATGTAAGTTATCCAACTCTTGGTGAGGTTGAAAAGGCTATAAGTAATCTAAAGCGATGGACAGCAGCAGGGCCTGATGGTCCAGTTTTAGCAGTCAGGTCAACTAGGCTTTTAGCTAGAATCTGGGGACTGGACGTAATCCTCTGATTGGTCCCAGTCTATAAGAAAGGATAAAAATCCCCTTGTGACAATCACAGAGGAACCAGTTTACCCAATATAGTGTCTAAAATATTAACCTCAATAATACTTCGATGTTTAACTAGAGATCGTGAAGAACGAACCCGAAAAAACCAGACCGACTTCAGACTCGAACCTGAATGCATAGACCAAATATTCACCCTTTGGTAGACTCGAGAACACGAATATACTTCTCGACGTCCAACTCTATTGACCATGAGGTTCTGTGGCAGTGTCTGTTGTTCAAAGGCGTCCCAAAAAAGTAGATTAACCTTGTACAGGTTCTCTACTCGAACACTGCTAGTCGAACCAGGGCTAATGGCGAACTGCTATCGGAATTGGTTACTTCAAGTGGTGTTTGTCAGGGTTGTTTTGTTTTCTCATTTCTATTTAACTTCGTCATAGGCATGCTTTTAAATACAAAACTTTCATCGCATGGCTTTTCAGGGGTTGACCTTCGGCTACGAGATTCACTTGTTGACTTAGAATACACAGATGATGCAGTCCTGTTTGATGAAGACGCTGACAAAACACAGTCTTCTGACCATCTCAAGCAACAATGAAAACATGTTTGAGATGGGGTTCTCTTTCTTCAGGCGCAGAATGTCACTTCACGATTGGCTTGCATCAGAACCCGAATTAATGATAGGAAGTGAAGTATTTGAACGCATCTACCGCTCCACTTATCTTGAGAGTCTCATCAATACTGATGGTGTGGTGTCCGAGGAAATCTCGTCACGGATTCATAAGGGTCGATTGACTATCGCTAAGGTGCGTCACTTTCAGTGTAGGCGAGATATGTCTTTCAAGCAAAGAGGGAGTTCACTGCGCACTAGTTTTCTCCGTTCCACTTTATGGATGTGAAACATGGCCATTAGAAATGGGGGATATTCGTAGGTTATTGGTATCAGGCCATAGGTGTCTTCGAAGCATTGCTCGTGTATTTTGGGACCACGGAGTAAGCGATGAGTGGGTTAGGAATAAGCTAGTAGGTAAGGATGAGAAGCGGATTGATGATGCAGTCAATCTTCACCAACTGAGGTGGTTGGGATATGTTACACATTTCCAACTACTGTCTACCTCTACGACCCACGTTTTCGAGTGTAGAAGTAGTCTGAAAGAAAGCTAGTGTCGGCCAAAACAAAACATGGGATCAGTCCGTGAAGTGACTGAAAATTGGACTCAGCAATGTCCACGTGACTATCACAATTAATGGTTGTGAACTATGAATGAGATGAGTGAAAATTGTTTGGAATGACGCAGGTGTATCGGTTCTTTGTCTTCCTCCATATTCTGCGATTCCTGATTGGTTACAACTTCTTTGGTTTTTATATCACTAATTTATATTTTACTCTCGAATAGTATTTTCAATATGTAATCTTTTGTAGTACGATTGAAACTTACCGCGTTTAATAGTGTGAGATTTGAATTTACAATCTCATATATATGCTAATGGTATGTAGTGACTTGAACCAGTGTGCAAATGTAGCATGTTCTACTTTGTGATATAGTGAATAAATGACGTTTATTTGTTTTGTTTATCGTTTTGGGCGTTTATGCTTATAACATGACCCATTTTTTGTCACTATTTACGTTATCTTGGGTGTTCAAATACATGAAACTTTTCTCTAATGGATTGTGTGTAATGGGACGTATTTATTTCGTAATATGTATATTTACTGTTGACTACACAAGGGAACATTGAAAATGCCATAACTTGTAACTTGCTTGGCAAGCACCTTTCACATAGATGAATTGATATTTTTGCAGCTGTTTTTCTTTAGCTATTTGCGTCCTAAAATGTCTGGTACCGATAATGTTTGGTACATATACCGTAATGTCACAAACATATGATTGAACACAGCTAATCCGAAGACGTCGAAGTATTGCTGTTAGTCAGTTTCGGTAAATATGAGTTGGTTGATTAGTTTCCACTGTTTCTCCCGCTAATATTAATTTATATTAATTGTTGCTGTGGTTGCTAGAAGGGGAACCAGTCTCGTGACTAACAAAGAATTCTGGCTTTTACCATGAGTCGTCATAATTCTTCTAAATGAAGATCCTTCAACTTCCATGGCATAGTTTGAGTGTTTTTTTCTGGCTGGCGTTTTTTAGCAAGGTCGGTTCCCACGAGAGGAGGCTACTGACCCCATACCATAACCTTTATCCGTACTTGGGATCGCAAGTAGTCCTAGAAAGGCTACAGAAAGAGTTGTTTCTCTTTTATCATACAATTTGTGGCATCCAATAAGTGGAATTTGATCTGATCTATAAATGTATCAGTCTAGGTTAACAAAAAGGTAAACAATAAAACTTCAAAAAGCACTAGCAAAGTTTGGCTAGGTAGAAAAGAGGATAAATTAACAGTTGTTGTGATTACTCAGTAACCTCTGAAAAGTTCATATTTGCTGTCACTCACTCCTAATCTGTAGTTGGAACTAATATAGACAACAATAAAGCCGGAGAGTCAAGAATTACTTTTATCGGCTCATTTCAAATTACCTCAGTTTCCTACTTACTACTTTGTGGCATATTTACTATTCAAAAGTCTGTCATACTCCCCAATCGTTTTGCCATTTAATGTCAGTTTCATGACCAGTTATTAGTCGGCTATATCGTATCACTGTACATTACCTATTGTTTAGTATGATATCCATTATTTTACTAACCCATACTTGGTATCAAATACTATAAAACTGGGACTTTTATAAATAAGGCTATAACTTTGCAGTTTGAACGTTCAAGTTTCAGCTGTTATGTTATTGCTTAAAACAGCTTTTCACCTATCTCTAATATTCGAATAACTCATAATAAGTACGGCATAATCTCGATTATAGGAACCTGTAATTGATGATTAAGTATCACTATATTATAACCTTAAAGAAATTTTAAAATGTCACTCATCAGTCAGTCAGTCAGCTACAACGTAGGACCAGGCACATATATGCATCAGTCCAGGTTGCCATACCGCATTAACACAACAAGATGGACACCGGATTCATAAAAGTAGCTAATTCAGAGGTGATGATATGTAAAAGAAAGATTGCAATAAGGATATAGTACAGGAAGAAAGAATTAGTTCGTAGAAAGAAAGATATGAAGTGATTTTAATCTCGGTTTAAGGGAAGACAGAGAGTGTATACACCTACGCCATTGTGGTCGATTCTGAGCCATGTCACCAAGAGTCTCCAACCATCGATTACGACAGTCACGCGGACCCCAACCAAGTAGTCTGCATCTACCAACATGGCTCAGACTAGAAGTTAGTGACTTCAAGCACTGACCCACGTTTTGGTTTGGTCGCCCCTAACTTTTTTCCAACCATCTCCAACACCGGTTAGCATTGCACGTCGTGGTAATCGGTGTTCAGGCATACGTAACACGTGACCCAGCCATCTCAGTCGATGAAGATTCACAGCCTCATCAACTGATTTACCATCTTCATTCCCTAATACCCTGCGTCGAACCTCACTATTACTTACCCGGTGATCTCAGCAGATGCCAGCAATATTTCTGAGGCATCTGTGGTCAAATACTAGCAGCTCACGAGTGTCTTCTACTCTTAATGGCCATGTTTCGCTGCCGTAAATTAAAACAGAACGGACTGCCGCACAGTATACTCGTCCTTTTATTGATAGACGGATATCTCGCCTTCGCCAAAGGTGACGTAAGTTGGCAAAAGCCAAGAGAGCTTTTCGAATCCGTGCTGAGATTTCGTCCGATACCAACCCATTAGGGCTGATCAGACTTCCAAGATAAGTGAAGTTGTCGACGCGTTCGACTACTTCACTCCCTATCCTTAGTTCAGGTGTTGACGCAGACCAGTCCTGAAGCAACAACTTGCATTTCGAGGGGGAGAAGCGCATCCCAAACATTCTGGAATTGTTGCTTAGTGATACCAAAAGACTGCATTTTGTCAGCGTCGTCACCAAACAGGACTATGTCATCTGCGTATAATGTCACTCATTGTGTCAGTCAGACATATTAACAACAAACTAATCAGGCTGTTAGTGATTTCGTTATCTTTTCATTTTCTGTTTGTAAACGTAATAATCGAAACAAATGTATATATCTATATTTCTATATAACTTTCAACTTTCTTTTAATTCATATCAGTGTGGAACTTCTTTAACTGAAAGAATTCTTTCTGGTTATATTTTTGTTACTGAACTGCTGCCCCCATAAATAATAATAATAATAATAATAATAATAATATTTATTTTTATTATTGTTGTTATTATTATTTCACTGTCATACACTAATTTCTGTCATTTGTTGTTCTTTTATTACACGAGTTTTACATTCTCTAACTCTTCACAACCCCACTGTTATTATGTGGCGCATATGTATTTGTTGCCCCTTTGTATCAATGTTTATGTGATCAAATAAACAATAATAATAAATAACATAAATTGTGATTTTTTTCTACTTTTCCTAGTGCTTGTGCAGAAGGTTTACTTAGCGAGTTACCTGCAACTGAAGCGAATACATCTTTATCAATTGCCGAAATATTATTCAAGACAACTGATAAAAATAAACTTTCGCTTAATTTATCAGATGATTCCACTGAATTATCTAAAGAAATCAATCATAGTTGTGAACAACAATCTTATAGATATCCATTAAATGGTTTTTGTTGTTCGCAGCATAAAAAGGTATCTTGTGTCTATTTTAATTAGTTGAACCATTTATAATCTTATCCCCTCTTCATCTGTTAATCTACTTTGATTATTATATGATGAAAATTAACTGAAAATACACATGAGAATATCACCTTGTGTTTATTTGTTGTTAATTTAACTTTGAGTGGAATCCAGTAGAATGTATTCACAAGGTATATATGAAATGTTATAGGACTTTAAGACATTTCTAAAGAAGATAATTGTTAGCATCAATTGTCAGTTAGTTTTTTTGGTAACGAAATTTCATTTCTGAAAAGCCAGTATTCATGGTTATGAATCTTTAATTATGGATATAAACGTCAACGTTGACAATAATTTTTGTTATATAGAATATTCTGTTGCTATTGTTAGGATGACTAATTTTACTCATATAATCATCGAAAATAACCAAGTATATATTTTTTCAAACACATGAATTGATAATGAAAATGCTTATATCCAGGTCCAGTGATACATTTATATTTGCCTAAATGAAACTAAATAACAACCTCTATTTCCTTTTTTAAATTTGTATTACTCCTTATTTCGCATGAAAAAAGACTTTTAATCATATTTTTCATTTTCAGAAATTCATGTCTGAAGCTTCCAATCTGAACTCAATTCCTGCTATTTCTCACGGGTAAGCGTATGTTATGCTCAAAGCCGCCAATCAAAAACAGCGAATTCTCGATCGGACCAAGGTCGCGTAAAACGCGTGCGAGCAGCCTAGAGTACTGATTGGTCCTACTTTCTACCTAGCCCAGCCAGTTAAGCTCAGAACGCCAATCTCAGCCTATGCAATATGAATCCTTATATTTCAAACATACTGAGTTTTATATACCAATAAAACAGACCATAACGTAGTATAAAATAGAAAATAACATTTGTACAAAATTTGGCCAAATGTGGCTGTGAATGTGGGAGGCAGTGACTAATAGACAGGGCATAATTCAAGAATGGTAAAACGTATAATAACGGTTCATAGGTCAAAATAAAGTTTATAATAAGAGGAATATGAATATGAATAGTTTAGTTATTTAACAATCATATGATAAAAATGTACGTTTAGTATTGGTCCACAAAAGGATCCCAAAGTTACCATTCATTATTTTTCTTGAGACCTAACAGCGTAAAACATACGCTTAATAAGTTTGTTGCATACTACTGATTTTATTTATTCCTATGTATATATATTTGTGGCTAAGCCAAAAAGGGTTGATATAACAACTCTGCTTAAACATAGCGTTGGTTCATATCAGTAATAAATGTGCAGTTACGTTTATCTAGGGTTGAAAGCTCCCGCTGACTGAGAAACATGAGACAGCTCCGATATTATAAACTACAGAAACTTGGTCTGGAGTATTTGTTACCGTGTTCATCAGTTGAAGTGGTTGGGACGTGCTACACATATCCAACTACTGTCTACCTCTACGACCCACGTTTTCGAGTGTAGAAGTAGTCTGAAAGAAAGCTAGTGTCGGCCAAAACAAAACATGGGATCAGTCCGTGAAGTGACTGAAAATTGGACTCAGCAATGTCCACGTGACTATCACAATTAATGGTTGTGGACTATGAATGACATGAGTGAAAATTGTTTGGAATGACGCAGGTGTATCGGTCCTTTGTCTTCCTCCATATTCAGTCAGTCAGTTAGTCAGCTACAACGTAGGACCAGGCACATATATGCATCAGTCCAGGTTGCCATACCGCATTAACACAACAAGATGGACACCGGATTCATAAAAGTAGCTAATTCAGAGGTGATGATATGTAAAAGAAAGATTGCAATAAGGATATAGTACAGGAAGAAAGAATTAGTTCGTAGAAAGAAAGATATGAAGTGATTTTAATCTCGGTTTAAGGGAAGACAGAGAGTGTATACACCTACGCCATTGTGGTCGATTCTGAGCCATGTCACCAAGAGTCTCCAACCATCGATTACGACAGTCACGCGGACCCCAACCAAGTAGTCTGCATCTACCAACATGGCTCAGACTAGAAGTTAGTGACTTCAAGCACTGACCCACGTTTTGGTTTGGTCGCCCCTAACTTTTTTCCAACCATCTCCAACACCGGTTAGCATTGCACCTCGTGGTAATCGGTGTTCAGGCATACGTAACACGTGACCCAGCCATCTCAGTCGATGAAGATTCACAGCCTCATCAACTGATTTACCATCTTCATTCCCTAATACCCTGCGTCGAACCTCACTATTACTTACCCGGTGATCCCAGCAGATGCCAGCAATATTTCTGAGGCATCTGTGGTCAAATACTAGCAGCTCACGAGTGTCTTCTACTCTTAATGGCCATGTTTCGCTGCCGTAAATTAAAACAGAACGGACTGCCGCACAGTATACTCGTCCTTTTATTGATGGACGGATATCTCGCCTTCGCCAAAGGTGACGTAAGTTGGCAAAAGCCAAGAGAGCTTTTCGAATCCGTGCTGAGATTTCGTCCGATACCAACCCATTAGGGCTGATCAGACTTCCAAGATAAGTGAAGTTGTCGACGCGTTCGACTACTTCACTCCCTATCCTTAGTTCAGGTGTTGACGCAGACCAGTCCTGAAGCAACAGCTTGCATTTCGAGGGGGAGAAGCGCATCCCAAACATTCTGGAATTGTTGCTTAGTGCTACCAAAAGACTGCATTTTGTCAGCGTCGTCACCAAACAGGACTATGTTATCTGCGTATTCTAAGTCGATAAGTGGACCTCCTGGTAGGAGATCAATACTCGAGAATTCAGTCGACGAGAATGTTATTTCCATCAGTAGGTCTATTATGAAGTTTAAAAAAATGGAGAAAGTGGATAGCCTTGACGGACACCACTTGAGGTTGCAAAAGCAGATGACAGTTCGCCATAAGCTCATACTCGACTAGTAGTGTTCGAGTAAAGAGCCTTCACAAGGTTTATGTACTTCTGAGGTACGCCTTTCGATGACAGACACTGCCACAGAATCTCTCGGTCTACCGAGTCAAATGCTGCTTTTAAGTCGAGAAAGACCACCATTGTCGGACGCTGATAAGTATGCCTATGTTCTAGAACCTGACGAATGGTGAATATGTGGTCGATGCAGCCACGACCAGGTCTGAAGCCAGCTTGAATCTCTCGTGTTTGCAGTTCACAAGTCTTAGTTAGGCGTCTGATAATTATCGAGGCTAGTATTTTAGATATTATATTAGTCAAACTAATCGCTAAAATTGGACCACCATCCTTAAAGACTTCTGGAGCCAGTCCATCTGGACCAGCTGCCCTTCCTCGTTTCAGATTAACTATAGCCTTTCGAACTTCAGCAAGAGTTGGGGGACCTACTTCAATGTTCCATTCACACTGTCTGGGAATGGAGGGTAGTTGTAGAGTAGCTGAAGGCCAGCTGAACTGTTCTCTAAAATGTTCCGCCCATCGTTCTAAACGTCTGGACTGGGAGCAGATGAGAGTGTCGTCTTTTTCCGAAATAATCTCACTTACACTTGACTTATTAATTCCAGTTTCTTTTATTAGTCTGTAAAGCTGTCTTGTGTTCCCTATAGTCGCCGCCTTTTCCATCTCTTTTGCTTTCGTTGCCCACCACTGCTCACGGTCGTTCCTTAGACTTTTTCTTAACCTAGATCTGATTTGTTTACGCTCTTCATCATGTTCGGAACCTGATGGGACGAGTTTGCGAGAATCCATCAGTGTGATAGACCTTGAAGAAATCCACTGGTTTTTTGTAACTCTGTGGTTTAAGTCACTAATAGATGTCACTGCTGTTTCCACAGCTGTTTGTATGCTTTCCAAGCAACATCTGGGTCAGCCTCGTTTTCACAACTACCTAAGTGTGACCTCAGTTGTTCCTGGAACCTACTTTTGGTTTTCTCGTTACTCAACTCAGTTCTAATGGGTCTTTTTAATGTGGCTTTTTTGCGTCCAGTGAGGCGCAAGCAGATGCGTGCCCGTATTAGGGCATGGTCGGAGTCCAAGCAGGTACTCCAGAATGAGCGACAATCTTCTACCGACCCTCTCCAACGATGACTGATGGCAATATGGTCTATTTGAGTCCATCGTTGGTTTGGTGTAGGGGGTCGCCATGTTAGACGATGTCTCTCCTTATGCTTAAAATTTGTGTTTGCTAAAAATAAACGATTGTCTGAGCATAGTTGCAGCAGACGATCACCATTATCTGTTCGCTGTGTCGGAATACTAAAATATCCACCTAAATGCCTTTCTGTTTGGTTTAAACTACCTATCTGAGCATTAAAGTCACCTGCTACGAGTACTATGTCTGAGCGTTTAGCTTTCTGAAGAAGTTCAGATAGCTTTCTGTAAAATTCATCTTTCACTTCATCTGAGCTGCAGTCAGTGGGAGCGTAGGCAGAAACGACAAAAAGGCAACGACGTGTGTCCCTATCCTTCCGAGTTCTTACGTAGCCGTTCAGCCGAACAGCACATAGACGACTGTTGACGGGGATCCACTCTAGCAGTGCTTGTTCCGCCCTCATGCTTAGTGCTATGCCTACACCTGCCAGTCCACGAGAACTGGCCATCGGGTCACCAGATACACGGAGGGTGTATCTCGTTGGCTCTCCGTCTTGCCGAGGTGAGGTCAAGTGAATGACCACACTGGAATCCTGTATGCGTGTTTCGGAGACACAGCATACATCAATGGAAAGAGACTCTAGGGTTTTAGCCAAGGAAGCCTGCTGACCGATTTGACATAGGGTGCGTACGTTGAAGGCTCCAATGTGTAGTTTGGAGCGAGGTTTCAGTAGACCTGGGACAGTGTTTTGAGCACTAGAATCGTTGGCTATGGTGACACTTGAGGAGGAAGCCGAAAAAGGAAGTTTAGAGTTGAAAGTCGATGTAGGAGGAATAATAGGAATTGAAGAGGAGGTTGATTATGAATACAGTGGTCTTGAGTGCTGTTAGAAGTATGAGGGCGGTTATCACTTCCCGGTTGCCCACACCGTGGAAGGGTTCTTCTGGAGGTACCTGAAAAGGAAATTGGATTAGAGGTGGTCTTAGTGACCTGGGAGCGTGACCGCAGTGCCCAAGGGACAACTGCTTGAGGTCGGTCACACACGACCTTTTTATGGGTAATTTTTGTGTTAGCTCCGTACTTTTTGAGACCTTACCGCCGGAGACGGATATCCGTGGGATAAGGCGAGGTGTGCATTTTTAGGGTCGACCTTTTCTAACCCCACCCCTCCTTGTGGGAAGGCAGCATCGCTGTCATGCTGGTTGTCTGAAGGAAACACCTTACTGCTGTCACACCTCTGTACAGTCAGCAGTACGACTTCGCCTTCGGACCTTGGGTTTGTTGCTTTTAGTCTTACCGCTCTTCAACCGACCTGTCTGACATGGTAGGACCTTGAGGAACGGTTGTTCCAGCCAGTATAGCTCGGTTGCTTCATCACGATAAGCAAGCCCGACCACCACGTCAAGGTAGCAACAACGGTTCTGCGATTCCCGATTGGCTACAACTCCTTTGGTTTTTATATCACTAATTTATATTTTGCTCTCGAATAGTATTTTCAATGTGTAACTTTTTGTAGTACCATTAAAACTGTTACTGCCTTAAATAGTGTGAAATTTGGCCTTACAATTTCATATATATGCTAATGGTATACAGTGACTTGAACCGGTGTGCAAATGTAGCATGTTCTGCTTTGTAGTTGACTGATCAAAGACTGTCACTGTGTCGAAAGCTCGTCTCAGGAGGAGGGCGAACATAGTTTCATTTCAGAACAATGGAATACTGGGTATCGCATTGTTATTGTTGGACTGTTGAACGAAATCTTTCTGTTTTTTATAAATGTTAACTCGCGAATATCTTAGTCGAAAATCAAATTTATCGAACACCTTAACATAAATCCTACCGTCTTGCAAGAATTATGTGTATTCTTCCCTGGTTGCGAAAGGTTCACACGTATTGTCAATTAAGTTTTATAGGGCTGTAATATACAACAAAAGATTCCAGTCTTATTATTTCTAAACTTTGAAATCTGTTATCTAGTGTCCATTCACACCATAAAATTCATTTTCTTTTCAGTTCATCTAGATAATGAAAATTTACTGTTTTTCCCCTTGAACTAATCACTTTAAACTTATAATAGTATTTCAATATTGTTCATTTATACTAGCACTGACGTTAACAAAGGATGTAAGTCCCCTACGACTGAATTGTCTTGTGAAGTGAATAACCAACCTCTTAGACGCCGATCTTCTCAGCTGCGCCTTTCTCAGCGACCATATACTTCGGATCCAAACAGAACAGATGAGATTATTAACACTCAAGACGATTTAAAGAGTGATGGAAGGAGTTCGTCGGAATACAAAAGTGAATTTAGTCATCAAAGCTCTTCCACAGTACAGAAAGATCAAATTTATAGTGAAACTCGCTCTCCTGGATCTACAACAACCGACTGCCCAAATGTTAAGCGGATCAAAATAGATGTAAACTTAAGTAAAGACAAAATTGGTGAAGTTATTGATACAGAACGAGTTCTTAGTAAGTTCTTAGTTGTGCTAAAATGCAATCATAAAGGATTGTAGCCCGTGTATATAGATCGTAATAATATTGTCCATATCTTATTATCTTGGTGGTAAGTAGTCTCAAATAGTATGAAACTCGCACCCTGGATTCTACTACTAATCACAATCCATCCGATCTCTTATTTACTTATTCAAGCACATAAACATTAGTACAAAGGGACATCAGAATATACATATGCGCCACACAACGACAACGAGGTTGTGAAGAGATAAATAATGTAAAATGTGCCTAATAAAAAGAACAATAATGAACACAAATTAGTGTATGCGAGTGAAATAATAATAATGGAAGGCGTTCAGTTAAAAAAATACAACCAAAATGGAATCTTTCAGCTAAAGAAGTTCCTCTCACTACTATGAAGAAAGTAAGTGAAAGTTACAACAAAACCGCCACTGGCTTCTATTCTGAGCTATGTGCGATGACGTCTCAAGCCATTATGTTGAACTGTCTCTAGGACATCAACCAGGGAGTCATGAAGAGCTGACAGATTCTAGTCCAGTAAAACTTTCTTTTATACCATGAAACCATTTGATACACTTACAACCTCTTCGCTTTATCCAACCCACGCCAGCGTCGACAAATAATGCACGATATCGTCTCTCATGCCTGGCTAGTATGCACTTTGTCGTAGTAAATCCGTCGTTCTTGCGATGCCTGTATCTGCTACCTAGTGACACTCATGTATCATCTTACGCCGCCAGTCTTTCGGGATCACAGCCACCCAATTCTCGTCATCGTCCTGCCAGGTCAGGACTCCATATGCGTTCACTTTCAGTTGTTATATACTACTTATGTCAATATAAGTAGTACGCACCACACTACTACAACATCTACTACCACCACTTTGGTATTCATTTCTGTGCTGCTGTGGTGTTGCGAATGAGGCCGATTCAAATTTGTGCCAGATCCTATGTTGCTTATGATTCGCTGGTTGATGAGCCATGCACAACCAGGTGTGTATAGGTCTCACAGCCTTAGTGTTGGATTACATTCAGAAGGTATTGTATATCTGATATAAAAATTAGCGACATATTTTGTCTATAACTTTATACACACCAAATTTTCCACTTTTAAGAGTTTCCCATTTAATCGGAAAACTCGAAGTAAAAGTTATGAAATAAAGTTTTATCTAATTTTTGTCTCGATAATCCAATGAGAAGACGAAGTTCATCAGAATTATGTGATATATTTGCGCAATACATTTCGAACAATCTGATCACACATATACTTGTTAAGATATTTTTATATGGAAATTAAAAGGTCAACTAGATATGTTAAAGGTAAGCCGTAATAAAAAAGATCTAATATTAAAGTACACGAAAACATTATGATTACCACTCTGGATAATAGATCAGTATTACCAGGGTAGGCTAAGTGTAAGAACAAATTGTTTTTGAACGTATAAAGAGGGTTTCAGTTTCCGTATAGCCAAGGCTTCAATAAACTTTAGATACATCTTTGAAGGTTTTTGTATAACACTACAAATATTGACTTGAAGTCAACCTTATGACCAGTCTCAATCAAATGTTTCGCAATGGAGGATGATGCATGTCTATCCTGTGATCTTATTTGACCATATAAAAATGTCTTAACAAGTATATGTGTGATCAGATTGTTCGAAATGTATTGCGCAAATATATCACATAATTCTGATAAACTTCGTCTTCTCATAGCATTTATCAAAAGGACTAATTGTTTTAATTTTTGTCTGTTAATTTAATTAACTGTTGGTGTGTATAGTACTATGAAAGTTTTGAATATTACCTTGCTTTCATTAGAACAAATCATTCCATTTACACAAAATAGTTTAATTTTAATTTCCCTTGATCGCCATGATTATACAGCATCTCCGTCATCATCAGCAACAACAAACAATCAATCGGCTGTGACTAGTACAATTACATCATCCCAAAGTTCCTTTACTGATTCCACTATCCCTGTAACTTCTCAGGAAAATTTACCTCTAATACTACCGCGTCGACCTTTATCATTACGGGGTTTAGGCATTTCTTGTAATTCGAAGAATAGTTCAGTTTTAAATAATATAGCTGGAATGTATGTTGACTCACCATTGGCGCCTACAAATAAAGTCTCAATCTCAGCAAAATCCGATAATTCATTTCCACCTACATTAGCTACAATGCATGATTTGTTAGAATGGCAATGGGATCAAGCTGGAGCTTTACTAATGCAACAGGCAAAAAATACAGATGGTATGTGTTATCAATTGATTATTGTAATATTTTCGCAGAAACTTCCTCTTTTCTACAGTATGTATATTTATACATACCAAAGTGAATGACTGCTTTATTTCAGTAGTCAATTTTACACAATTTGTTTGGTTTTTTCAGAGAATTTATCTTTAAATAGTGAATACACTGTATACATTTTAAAATAATTTTAGTGTTGATAAAATTGATACAGTTGTAATATGGATAAGTACTTTATGACGTGGTCTGAAGCTAAAATCAAGCGGTGGTGAAACGAAATTGTACTACTGTTTTTGGTTTTGACACCTTTCATGCATAGTATTCCTAACTATTAAAGAAATCTGAAAGATTCCTATGATTAAATTTATGTCGTCATTCATAAGATGTTCATCTCATAGGCTTTTCAAAATCAAATTTTTGTCAGAAAATTATAATATTTATTCTTTACAAAGTGAGAAATTAAAGTACTATTCACATCTACTGGCCAATTATTAAATAGCTTTAGGTATGGATTTTACCTGATCGGGTTCTCTCACTTCAAGTGCGGAATGTCACTTCACGATTGGCTTGCATCAGAACCCGAATTAATGATAGGAAGTGAAGTATTTGAACGCATCTACCGCTCCACTTATCTTGAGAGTCTCATCAATACTGATGGTGTGGTGTCCGAGGAAATCTCGTCACGGATTCATAAGGGTCGATTGACTATCGCTAAGGTGCGTCACTTTCAGTGTAAGCGAGATATGTCTTTCAAGCAAAGAGGGAGTTCACTGCGCACTAGTTTTCTCCGTTCCACTTTATGGATGTGAAACATGGTCATTAGGAATGGGTGATATTCGTAGGTTATTGGTATCAGACCATAGGTGTCTTCGAAGCATGGTATTCACTGACATTACATTACAACACCACTTATTTTCGGACTGATAACATCAGTCCTGTAACAATTATTGAAGTAATTGGATAGTAGTATTTCCCTGATCTATCACCTTCGAAATCTGATGTATGACAATCCATTCGCGATATTTTATAGCAGCTTAGAAAAAAAGGAAATTGACATCAAGATGATAAGCAGGCGGGTGTAAAGGATAATCCTAATAGGGAATAAAAACTAAGCATAAAATGAATGGTTTGAACCAATCAGGTTTTCTAAAATCAGTAAAACAAAGTGTCGGTGGAATCGATTTTGATAACAACATAAAGATATTATATTTACTTGGTTTTGTTCTCTTGAATGTTCCCATTGATGTTTAGAACTGCAATTGATCAGTCTTTTATTGTTATATATGCGTATTGCTTAGATATTGCCGTAATTTACAAGCATTATGAGCATTATCGAGGCAAACACACAGTATACATATATACCAATAAGAAACTGATCAATTGAAGTTCTAAACATCCATGGGAAGATTCAAGTAAACAATACTAAGTGAATTTAAACTTCACGGCATTGTACAAACAAGTGGCTATCAGGACTCAGTTAGGCGGATAACACGATGGAGTATGAAATGTCATGTACGGGGCTCGAGTCCCAGAGTGAACATCAACTCTGAGATGCAGGTACTTCCAGCTGACATGTCTTAAATAGGCCGAAACGCGCGTCCTGGATTCCACTGCTAGTCACTATCCATCTTTGTTTATAAAGATATTATGTTGCAAAACCGATGCGCTAATTTAGCTGTTTACATAGTCTTATTCAGAAAACATGTTTTATGACAATCGATTAAATGAAATCTTGGATAATGATGTAATCAGTTTCTATTTCTTTCCTGTAATTTTTGTAATTAAGGTACTTCAGTAACAGTATAGTGTAGGGACGGTTTGAAAAGCGGCGACTAATTTTCAGCTAGTTTTTGGCCAATCAGGAAACAGATTTTCTAGATAGATACCCCATAGAAAAGGAAATAATAATATTGTTAACTGAACTGATTTCACTTTATTCATCAATGTGTTAAAGTCTTCTACAGGTTTCTCTGCCTTTAAATCATAAAAGCAACGACATGAATTCGTCATTATGAATCTGGACCGACCGTCTTTTCAAAAGAACTCTTTAAAGGACCTAAATGGATTTTTAAGAGTTACTTCAGTCAGTCAGTCAGCCACAACGTAGGACCAGGCACATATATGCATCGGTCCAAGTTGCCATACCTCATTAACACAACAAGATGGACACCGGATTCATATAAGTGGTTAATTCAGAGGTGGTAATATATAAAAGAAAGATTGCAATAAGGATATAGTACAGGAAGAAAGAATTAATTCGTAAAAAGAGAGATATGAAGCAATTTTAGTCTCTTAGTTTAAGAGAAGACAGAGAGTGTACACACCGACGCCATTGTGACCGATTCTAAGAGTTCCTTATTGTTCCTCGTTTTAATTTGATATTTAGGGTAAGCATAAGGGTCTAAGGTTAGGGGTTTTATCACGAACTGATATCAGCTATAATGCGAAGATGCTCTGTGGCCTTGTGGATGAATGAATTTCATGCAAAAATCCTAGTTGCATTGACTGATTAGTTCGTCCATGAAACATAGTGTCAATAAGTTTTGTTCCAGGACTAAAGGTTTATGTTTGGGATCTAGAGATACTGTTGAATGTTTTATACAAATTGTAAAAACAGAATCAGGTATTTAATATGTTTATTACTAATTATTATTATTTTCACTTTATGATTACAAAAAGTTTTCGCTTTCATTTTAAGCAGTATACAGAGGTGTTTTTAGCTATCGTTATACATAGTATTCGAATTGTGCTCAAAAACCTGGGAGTTTCCTCCTCAGTTCTGATTGGCTCGTCTCTGTTCCATACTTCTACCGGTTCTTCTTTGTAGTTACAATTCATCCTTTTGATGTCTGCTTCCGATTTCAAACTCAATATGTCCCGCGGTCTTCCTCTTTTCCGTTTCCCTTCAGGATTCCGAGTTAAGGTTTGTCACCTGATGCAGTTTGGTGATTTCCTATCCATCTCCAGCATCTGTTCCTAATTTCTTCTCCAGATGGATGTTGGCTTGTTCTCTCCCAAAGTAGGTTGTGACTGATAGTATCCGGTCAACGGACATTGAGCATCTTGCGTAGACAATTGTTTAGAAATACTTGTACTAGTTTGATGATGGTTGTAGTAGTTCTTGAAAATTCAGCTCCGTGCAGTAGAACTGTCTTGACGTTCGTACTGAAGATTTTGAGTTTGATGCTGGCTTACAGACAGTTGTTTTGAGTTCCATGTGTTCTTCAAATGTAGGAATGCTGCTTGTGTTCTGCCAATCCTTGCCTTTCCGTCTGCGTCAGATCCTCCTTGTTCATCGATGATGCTTCATAGGTACGGGAAAGCTTCCACCTTATCCACAGTTTCTTCATCAGGTGCGATTGAGTTGGTGTTCTCCATGTTCTGTTTCAGGATCTTTTTCCTTGTATACGTTGAAGCCTACTGATGTAGAGCCAGCTGCTACACTCGTCTTTATCTACGTTTATTGATGTGTATGAGATGGAGGAGCTAGGTCATCTGCGAAGTTTGAATCGGATAGTTGCACACAAGCTGTCCATTGTATTCCACTCTCACCATTCTTCTTTAACTTTGTCGTTGACGTGCTTTTAGAGATATCACTTTCCTCATCTACCACTTTAAGCAACAATGCAAGCATGTTCGGCATGCGAAATGCAAAATGTTGCTTCAGGATAGGGTTGCATCGACACCTGAACTAATGGTAGGGAGTGAAGTAGTTGAGCGTGTCGACCGCTTCACTTATCTTGGGAGTCTCGTCATTCCTTGTGGTCTGGTGTGTGACGAAATCTCAGCATGGATACAGAAGGCTCGACTAGCTTTCGCCAACTTGCGTCATTTATGGAGTAGGCGAGATATCCGTCTATCAACCAAAGGACGTGTTTACTGCGCAGCAGTTCGTTCCGTCCTACTTTATGGCAGTGAAACAGGACCGTTAAGAGTAGAGGATATCCGTAGGTTACTAGTAATTGATCATAGGTGTCTTCGAAACATTGCTCGTATATCCTGGGACCATCGAGTAAGTAATGCAGTTGTTAGGAAACGGGCACTAGGTAAGGATGGCAAACCAATTGATGAAGTAGTGAAACTTCATCGGTTGAGATGGCTGGGACACGTGTTACGTATGCCCAACGACCGACTGCCTCGACGTGCTATGTTCAGTGGTATAGGAGCAGGTTGGAAGAAAGCTAGGGGCGGCCAAATCAAAACATGGCACAAGTCCTTGAAGTCACTGACAAGTGAACTGAGTCATGTTGGTAGGTGTAGACTACCTGGTTGGGGACCGCGAGATGATTGCAACCGATGGTTAGAGACCTTGAATGACATGGCTCAAAATCGTTTGCAATGGCGCAGGTGCATTCATTCTTTGTGTTCTCCCAAATTCTAATCTCGAATCCTCCTCGTTTCTTTTTTTCTCTGTCCGGATTTGTTTCACTGGATTATACTCTTTAAATAACATCTTCAAATCCTAATCTTTCCGATTACTGCTTATACTCTTACTACCGGTACCACTACGGGATTTGAATCGACAACTGCAACTCTGTGCTAATGTTGTGTGGCAATTCGAACTGATGTACGTACGTACGAAGTTCTACATTGTTACTGACTGACTGACTGACATTGTATTCCGTGCTTTCCCCAGATGTCCAAGTCTTCATAATCCAGTCAACTACAAAAAAAGTGGAAAGGACGAGAGTAAGCAACCTCGTCTGACACCGGTCTTCTCTTTGAATGCATCTATCATCTATCCTATATGCATGACCTCGCCATGTAGTCTGTTATATGAGTTCCGTATGATGTCGACGGTCTTCTCAGCTACACACACCACTGTGTCGAAGAATGTTCCGTGAGGTTCTCCTATCCGCACTGTCAAATGCTTTTTCATAGCGACGGAAATTGATGTATGGTGACGAGATCCATTCAACTGATCGTCCAGCGATGATCCGTATTGTCGCGATTTGGTCTGTGCACAACCGACCCTTACAGAACCCGTTCTGTTGAGACCTATGTCCGGAGCGATCTGCCAACTACATCCAATTACTTAATATCGAAAAATAATGCACGGAGTGTCAAGTCACTGATACTAGTAACTACATTATACCTTGATCAATTTAATTCGTTTTACACTAAATTGTAGACAAACATGACATTGACCTCTAGTCAGTGATCAGTTAGTGTTTATATTTGAAGGTAGAAGACATGAGCTATTTATATTTCTAGCAATTCCGCATAATTTAATATAGAGGCGTGGCTCACTGGTTTAAAAGTCCGACTTTAAGCTTTCATTCCCCAGTCTGCATACATCAATGTGTAAGTTATAGGATGATTCAGTTAATTTCGATAATCTCTAGTTGATTTATCATTACCGTTTTTGTAGAAGCCTGTAATTCCTGTATTCTGTATATTATACATAAACTTTAGTTGTTACATTATTGGATTGTTTGCATCAATTAAAATGTGAAAATGATATTCTTGAAGCTAAATTAATTCGTCTTACAACAAGACATGAGCATTTGAAATCTGTGAATGCTCGTTTGTCTGGTTCACTTGCTACAATGGAATCAACAATGGTAATGAACTCTCCAAAACATGAAATTTCCGAACAGAATTCTACTGGAGTCAATAATCTTACAAAAAAGTCAAGTCACCATTTCGCCCATCCTTTGGATACTAATACTGCCATTACTTCTAATATAACGACCACTACACAGAGTTCACATATATCTACAATCTTACATTCTATTGATCAGGAATCTCATCAACCTCAGTTATCCGACAATGTCACTAAAAGTTAGTTATTTGATATTTGTTAGTAATATGTATATTGTTGAATTCATAATTTCTGTTAGTTTGAGATAATCTTATTTTTTCGTTCATTTTGTTTGAGTCGAAAATGGTAGTGATAAGTAGTTCATCTAATAATAACATGGTTTAATCAAAATATTAATTATTATTATTATTATTATTATTATTATTAATGGCTTTATTCAATATTATATTTTTGGGAGAATATAGAATTCTCAGCACAAAGTATTTCAACAAGTGTTTTTGTACAAAAAAAGTGAAGGAAACTGATAAGTTAAATAGATAGACTACCTGGAATTAAATGAAATGTTTTTTTTTCAAAAGGTGATTTGGGTCTATGCAACTTTTGTTTAGAAACATGCTTAAGAATACGAGTTGTTGACTAGGTCAGACCTAATAATCTGTTTGTCACATATGATATTTACTAAATAAGTCATTGTAAAGCCTTTATATCTTAGATTGTGTGCATGGATTCTAAAATATTGACATCTCGTTTTACCAGAAAATATACAAGGAGAAAGATATATATGAAATAGATGATTGGTATCTAATAAGATATCATCTGCCGGGAGTTTGCAAGATTTTGGATGTTTATCTACAACCATATTAATAATAATTTCAGCAAGCTCACCACACACCCTGACAAATACCTTCAGCACTCCCCGCAACACAACAAAGTCTTTTCTCAAAAGCTGGGGAAAGAGTAATACAGAACAGTAAAGAATAATATGATTTCCGGTTAAATTGTGTTTAGTTAACTGAGTATGCAATCGCATAACTCTTTTGCTACTGCTCTAAACAATACCAACGACTATTTCACATAAAGGTAAGCTATTTAATCGTTCTACAAAAGCTAAATCAGTTCATTCTTACGAACTGTCGTTTTTGAATTGTTCTTTATCTTCATTTGTTTGACCATTCCTGTTGACTGACTTGTTCGGTCACCCTAAACACGTGATTGGTTGACTTTTTACGTGCAGGATGATAGACCGGATCTATATCGGTGTCTTTTGATCATCTATTGATCTAAATGCAATGTTTTCAGTTATTCTCATTCATTCTTTAAATTTTATCTACTCGAAAGTTTAACATTTTCTTAATCAAATATATATTTGTACAATAATGTTTGTGATAATATGTCATGTCCTGTTTCACTGTTAGTGATTTGTGTATGCGCGAACAAAAGAGGTCCTCATCTTATCCAATATATTGTCTGTCTCAGGTGATGCAACTTATTTTATGAACAATATTGTATTTATATTATTTTGCTGTTGTACGATGAAATAGAATGACTGTGTCTATTAGCGAGTAATGTTAATTTCAACAGGCTTTAAGAAGTTTCAGGTGATTTATGGATTGGTTTTATACGCGACAGAGTAATTTTACTTTCGCAGATAATCTTATGGAAGTACCTCAACTTGTTAAACACTTTTTGATGGAGTTTTCTGTGTAACCATTTTTACGGAAAACAGAGAAAATATGCTTCGTTTTTTTCGTGTACTCAGAGTACCAGGAGAAGTCTTGATTCTTCTGAATAACGTCTTGACACAACTCATCTTGGAAACTTAGTTTTTTCTACTGTAATTGTAGTATGTGATCTATGTAACTTGATTTCCTGCATGCTTGTATTTACGATACTGGTTAACTGTTGATTCTCCTATTGTAAAATGTTGCCAATCAGTCATCGAGTATCTTTAAGTCTGTTTCTCTTGAAGATAACAACCGTGTCATTTACGTAACATTAAAATCTTTGTTTGATTATTGGTAGGACTTTAGCTTTCGGTCTTTACATAACTGCTTTTTATAATTAAAACTAATAGAAATACTGCCAAATATTTTTCCACTGAATTTTCGAATACATAGTGAGTGTTATTCTCTCTTCCTAATATACAATAAGTGCTATTCACAACTGCAAGCATTAACATACATTTAAGGAATAAGTCGTATTTATTTTAACAGTCCGGAAATGATAACGTGCTCATTTATAGATTGTAGGGTTTTGTCATACCATTTGAAACTAATTACAAGCTAATAACATTAAGAATTTGTATTTCTATGTAGTGGAAATTACGTCATCCTTTTTTGGCCATTTTTAGTTCTAATCTGTGAAAGTAAATACATTTAGTTTTGTATATACACTTTTAAGATTACATCTATCCTGTTCTCATGTATAATGGAATTTCCTTTTTTATTTGATATCCCCTAAGTTGTTTCATCATCTAACGATGATTATTTATAAGTTGATAGTTACTTGAAAATTTACTAGTTTTTTAAAACTCTTTCTACACAATAATTATTTTGATTGTTTAGCATTATTTATGTATTCTCCTACTGAATTGTTGAAGATTTTGTAGATTATTTCTTACAAATAAATGTTAGGATAATTTTAATCACTAGCTGATATTAACTGAAAAATTAGTGAAGTGTCTCATTCCTAGTTCAGCACTCTTCAGAATTTCATATCCATGAATGTGCATTGTATCTAAATTTCTTCATGAACACGATATTCATAGACCTTTGAGCCAGAATCCATTGCTCCACATCTGCAAATTTAATCAAATCGGTTGCAGAACATTTATTTATTTGAACACATGAATATTGGTACAAGAGAGCGCCAATATATATGCGCCACACAAAACAATGAGAATTCGAAGAGAAATAGAAAAAAAACTAAGGAGCGCAAAAGAAAAAGAGAACAATAACGAAGAGATTGGTGTAAGGTAGTGTGGTAGTAACGAGGGAACGGAAAGGTACAATCAGAAGAAATCTTTCAGGTAAGGGAGACACAACCACTTTTTAAGAAGAAAGTAAAAGAAGGTTACAGCAGGATCGCCACTGGCTTCTATTCTGAGCCATATCTGATAACGTCTCTAGCCACTGTGTAGCACCATCTCTCGGACCCCAACCAGGGAGTCGTGAAGGACCGACAGAAGCCAGTCCTTTGCAGCTTTCTTTCATACAACGACACCATGTCATGCACTGACCACCTCTCCGCTTCTTCCAACCAGTCCCAGAGTCGGCAAATAATGCACGACGTGGAATTCTCTGGGACGACATTCGGAGAACATGTCCAAGCCACCGAAGTCGGTGTTTCAAGATGGTGACACCGATTGCATTATCGTCTCTGTGCCCGAACACACGATGCCGAACCTCTGCATTACTGACATGGTGTTGCCACTGAATGTCAGCAATCCTTCGGAGACAGCGATGATCGAACACAGAGAGTCGTCTAACATCCTCAACTCGGAGAGACCAGGTTTCACAAGCATAGAGCAAAACTGCTCTCACCGACGCGTTGTAGATCCGACCTTTTACAGCCAGACTAACATCACGAAGGCGCCAAAGGTGGCCCAGATTGGCATAAGCCGCTCTGGCTTTCACTATACGTGCATTGATCTCATCACTCACACCCCCACCAGCACTTATGCAGCTACCTAGATACACGAACTTCTCGACTACTTCTATCTGCTCACCATCCAGAGTGAGTACAGAATTTGAATCCTGCCAGTCTTGTAGAAGTACTTTGCACTTCGAAGGTGCAAAGCACATACCATACCTACGGACACTGATTGCCAACTGATTAAGTGCGGATTGCATGGTTTGGGCATTATCGCACAGTCTGACCGATGTTGCTGGAGCAGCAGGCCAGTTGAACTGCCCTTCGAAGAATTCTGCCCATCGTCCAAGACGTCGATGGATGTTAGTGATTGGCATCCCATCATCCTCGCAGATTGTTTCACTCACACCAGACTTCTTGCTGCCAGTGGCTCGGATGAGTTGGAAGAGCTTCCGGTAATTACCAGATGCAGCTGCTGCTTCCAGCTCATTAGCACGCTCCGACCACCAGGCTTCTCGGTCCTTACGCAAGCTTTGCCCAATTTCCTTACGTAACATCCTTCGTTTGTGGTCAAACTCACGGTCACCCGGAGTAGACCGACGGGCTTCAATGAGTTGTAAGGAACCTGAAGAAACCCAGTGCTTGTAAGCGGGACGTTTCGCAAACCCACAACTGACTGTTCTCGCCATTTTCATGGCGTCATGCAATTGCAACCAATGCTCATCTATACTTTTCGGTGGAGTGGTAGCTAGCCTAGAGGCTAGCTCGGTTCGATACTTACTTGCAACAGAAGTTGCAACCAGCTTGCTAATATCAATCCGTTGATGGCGGTCACTTCGTTGGCCACTGAAAAGTAAGGTAAGATTGGCGCAGACCAAGGCATGGTCAGAGTCCAGATAGGTACTCCAAAAGGAGCGGCAGTCTTGTACACAACCACGCCAGCGGTAGCTGATCGCGATGTGATCAATCTGAGTCCAGGCTTGAGATGCAGAGGGAGGACGCCAGGTGGCACATCGGCGATGACTGTGCCGAAAGTTAGTGCTAGCCAGAAACAGGTTGTGGTCTGTGCATAGTTGCAGTAGACGGTCCCCGTTATCTGACCTGCGACCAACAAGTCCCCATCGGCCACCTAAACGACCCTCTTCTGTGCCTAGACGCCCGACCTGAGCATTCAAGTCTCCGGCTAGTACTACAATATCTGTCGAACGCACTTTCTGGAGAAGAACAGATAACTGGTGGTAAAACTCATCCTTGATTGCATCCGGGCTGCAATCTGTCGGGGCATAGGCGGAGATGACGAAAAGACATCGTTTCTCACGCCGATTTCTTCTCACTTTGATGGAACTTTCTAATCTAACAGCACATAACCGACTGTTAATGGGGATCCAATCGACTAGTGGTGCCTCAGCTCTAGCGCTTAGTGCGACACCAACGCCAGCAAGACCAGACGAAGATGCCACAGGGTCCCTGGATAAGCGCACGTAAAACAAGCTTTTTGAAGCGACAGATGGAGATCGAATTTGTAGTACTTCGTCAGAGTCTTGAATACGGGTCTCGGATAGACAACAAACATCAATATTAAGACTTTCCAAAGACATAGCCAGCCCTATCTGTTGTCCGACCTGCATAAATGTGCGAACGTTGAAGGCAGCCAGTTTGAATGGTGCACGTGGTTTCAGAAAAACTGCTTCAGTACTCATATTCGGTGGTAACATACAATTTTCAACCGGACAGTGACTCGAGAACGTCTAGATACAGTCGAATTTCCACCAAAGACGAGCCGCTGTATAAGTATAAAAGAGGGTGAATAATGTGGAAAATAATAATAATAAAAATAATAATAATAATAATGACGATAATAGTAATAATAATAATAGTATTAATAATGACAATAATTGTAATGATAATAATCTGAATCAATTGATTGTTTTCCGAAGCGAGAAAAGTAATTTCCATAGACATAAAGAGTTCATCATTTATGTGTGGGCTGCGATACTGCGCGGGTGCCCAGGTCGAAGCAGGTGGTTATCTTATTGGTCCACACCCCGAGCCTTTGACCTAAAGGTCTAACCCACAAGGCAGTGGCGCATCGTAAGGAGATGCATTCCCATGGTAGCCGGTGACCGAAAGTTGGTTCATACACCATTTGTTCCCGCACGATACTGGAGCCCATGTGCACCATTGGTTTGTGATCCGGTTAAAGCGCCGGACATTCGCTTTTCGTCCTCTCATTTTCGTAAACACCCCCGCCACGAGAAGGCAGTGAGTAGGACTTCCCTGGCAGAGGCTGTATACGCGTGGCCGTGTGAGAGTATTTCGAGAGGGAGAGCGGACTCTCCCCACTCTCGGCCGTACCAGGGCATTCGGGGGGGGGTACAAGAGTGCGCCAAATATATATATGTAGAACATGATCTTCAAGGAATATTATCTACAATTTACTGTCTTATTCCAGACTTTATTTATTGGTTGTTATGGCTTTCTATTGGAGAGTTTCAGAAAATTGTTACTAAATTTACTCAAAGTTAGTGAATACAGAAATATTTTTAGTTTGACGGCTTTGGGTTGGTTTTTGTATATATTTTCATTACAATCGAAAAATCGTGGTGAACTAAGACTGACTTTTACATAATTGTTTGCCATTCTGATAATATTAAATATCATTATTTTGATTGTTGTGTTAATAATCAGTATTTTACGTGTTTGTACATTGCTTTAACATGTAATTACATTTTGTATTTATTCTGACTGTAATCTATTTTTGCTCAAGATTCTTCGAATCAATCTGTCACATTGATCAACAATTACAATGATCCATCTTTTGCAAAATATTCAACTAATAGAAACAGAAAAGTTCCAATTCTACCGAAAGACTATACTACAACTTGTTCCAATTTGAATTTAAAACATGATTCAACAAATCTTATGGATAATCTAGGATCATTTGATAAAATTCACTCAACCAATTGTTTAAATCATACTCAACCAGTATTTTGTACATCGTTAGATTATTCGAAGTCTTCACATGAATCACATTTAAGCTATTCAGATTTAATAAAACATCAACCGAATACATTTCTAAATGATTCTTTCACTCCAGATAATAATAATAATAACCAAACTAGATCAACCTTTGACTACCCATCCAGTTCATGTTCTTCTTCTACGTTACCGTCAACAAATCCTACATATTTTACTAAAAGTGTTGATCATAATGATTTGGTGAGTATCTAATGATTGAGTAATAAGTAAATTTTAATCGCTTCATATTATCATTTACATTCTTTGTCCACTGCTCACTGCTAAATAGTTCCATACTAGGACGAAACGTCCATTTAGGGCTTCTAGGTTTCCAATGGTTGTCTAACATTGATTGATTCATGATTTCACTTGATTATAGTAATAATAATAATGATAGTCCTTTGCCATCCAAAAAGTGTATTTACTCATTATTGAGCTATAATTACTGACAGAATATGCAAACATGTGATTCACTGATTGAAAGTTGAATGATTTTTATCCATTAGGTTTCTGTATAAATCAATTAATTATAGATTAGTTGGATTCTTTTACTGTAAAAAATGTTTTCCAGATTGTAGAAATTTTTAGTAATTTTCCTTGTTTTACAATATATCTTTTAGTAATATTATTAATATCATGATAATGTAGATCGTATTAGTCATTTTTGTTATTACCGGTATTCATAAGTGGAAAATTATTAGTTACATACATTATGACTTTTATTTGTTTAAAACAGTTAGTTCATTTGATAAATTTAGTTAATGTAATGAGAAAGTAAAATTTTATCAGTACTAAGCCCCTGACCCATATGAAATTTCAGACTCCTGTTGTTCTTTTTTTTCAAAAACAATTTGTAATTACACTAAGTCGGTCGCGGCCCGGATAGCTCAGTGGTAACGTCTCTGATTGTGAAGCTGGGTGACACAGGATCGAATCCGTCAGGGCGCACCAGTTCCCTCGAGATTACAGGTAAACCTTGCTGACGAGTGCCAAGTAGCACTAAACCCGGGTCCAGGGTTTTCTGTCGACTACTTCCAACCACCATCTAATCTCAATATAGCGCACGCAGTGTCGAGTCAACTAGACTGGTGGCCACACTGCAACTTGGTCGATAGCATTCGATCTGCACTAATAAGGACTTGACACACATGACATTGATCACCACCCAGTGATCAATCAATTGTGAAAATTCAGACTCCTGTTGTTGTTTTTTTCAAAAACAATTTGTAATTACACTAAATCTACTCTAGTAATATTAATTTATTATCCAGTTTAGTGTGATGTATACTGTTTTTCCTTATCATCTTTATTTTGTTCATACCTTCTAGTATTTTTCATGTGTATAAGAATGTCTAAACGAATAGATGTGTGGTCAGTTTATCCCCTCATTGAGTTTTATAATCACTTGTCGTCAAATAAATTAACTCAGTGATACTATATTGCTTAAATATATATCACGTAAATCCTACCTTCAATTACCTGTAATATATATTTTCATACCCAGTTAATCGGCTGATGATCTTATATCTCCTATAAACCTACTCCATCGTGATTTAGTAAAGGTTTACTTAAATAAACTTATCAATCCAGTCATCATCTCACTTGACTTTGTTTAGAACTGGTCACAATTACTGTTTTTTTTTGTACATTCTTATCTTTTTGTTTATATTCTTTAGTCATCTATTGAATTTCTTCCGGTCTTTGTCGTATTGCCATTGATTTTAAGAAACGTGCATGTTTGTTCTTGATCCTTTTCTTTGTTGTTGCAATTTAAGTTAATCAATCTGTTTTTAAAGTGAATTGGGTTTTAATCAGTTTATGAAATAAACTAATTAAAATTATTCATACGTAAATCTTCTAATCTAACCAGAAATGCGATTAATTGATTCGTGTAAATTATTGATTGTGTTGAGTTTAACGTGCCCTGGTACGACCGAGAGTGGTGAAAGTAAGCTCTCCCTCTCGAAATGCTCTCATATGACCACGCGTATACACCCACTCACAGGGAAGTCTTACTCACTGTCTTCTCGTGGCGAGGGTGTTGTTTACGAAACCGAGGCCAAAAAGCGAATTTCCGACGCTTTAACCGGGTTGGTGGACACGGAGGATCCACCTAGGAGAGTTGGAAAATCCTGATTCCAAACCAATGGTGCACATGGGCTCCAGTATCCTGAAGCAACAAAGGCATATGAAGCAATTGTTGGTCACCAGCTAACATGGAACTGCATCTTCTTACGTTGCTCCACTGCCTTTTGGATTAGACCTTTATGTCGAAGGCTCTAGGTGTACCTCCCTAGGAAAATCACCTGCTTCGGTTTGAGCACCCGGGCAGTATCATAACCCACACACAAATCAAGTGACATGTGTGGCTCATATGTATCTGGTGCCCCTTCGTACCAATATTTATGTGTTCAAATAAATAAATAAGGCTATTTCAAAATTAATAATCTTAGTTTGTTTTTTAAAGTTAATGTTAAACTGTAACATGTAATTTGAATATATATCACAGTTTAATCAGTTCATTTATCATTTTAAAACAATCGATCTCATAATAATTATTTTAGTTAAGAATTCATGCATAGTTATACTTTATTTATTTAAATACTGTGAATTGAGTTTATGGCGAAGTAACGACCTCCATTGCCCGAGGCCTTTATATATTACACCATTGAGTTAACTGCCTCTATGAATCTGGTGTTCGTCTTGCTGTGGTAATGAGGCATTTACGTTTAATTAAATACTGAAGAAAATTTTTATATGTATAGATATGTGCCCGATTTTGTTGTTAATCATATCTTTAGTTATAGATTATTTATGCCTTAAGTTTTTTTACTGCCTTCAAAGTAAACTTTCATACACTTCTCATTATCACATTTACTCTCAATTGCATATCAATCTTAAATATGATGTAGTACTACTGAGTATATCACTAATGTTTGACAACTACACTTTAAATTCTCCACTATTACTAAGGCTTATTTTGTTTATAATCACGAACTATAACATATCATTGAGATATTGTGCTTTCCTACCAATTTTTTCGTTTTATTTCTATTTTTGTTCTATAGCAGGAACTAAGCGCTCGTTTAAGTTCAGCGATAGCTGCTCGACAACCTCAGTCATCAAAAAGTACTAGTTCAGCTATGCCTCCATGTCCTGTTTTGCCTAAGAATTCTGGTCAAAGCAAAAAAAACAGCAAAGTTGTTACATCTGCTCAATCATCATCTTCAAGTAAATTACCGATACCTCCGTTAAATTCTGGTTCATTGGTCAATTGCATTTCGAAATTAGACACATTAACTAGTTGTCATAATTTCTGTCCTACGAATTCGAATAACGTGCAACCTACAACAGCATCTAATAATCCAACTAAATCATCATATTCCAGTGATCAAGCTTCTATACAATCACAAAGTAACCCTTTATGTAAGTTGATACACTTTCAGACTGTAGTGTTTGACGTAATTGTATTATGTAATTCACCTAAATGCATCGAAATCTCTTCTTATGTTGTTTAAAAATGTTTCAGATTCTGACGTTCCACTGTGGTTGACTGGATTCATGAATACATATTTATATCTCTTGGTTTGCTCTTTTTACAGCAAATGTAAGGCACTAATAATTCTATTCATATTATATTAGATACGAAGGAATTCTTAACTTGAGTCCAAGCCAGATAGTTCAAAGTTTCACAATATGCTATTGTGATCATGTGTTGAATCTTACGAAATCATACTGTGCCGGTGAAATATAAGTAATCATGTTGGTCATTTTACAAGAATAATTGATCACCGTTGAGAAATAATATATGAACGATAATCAAATAGAGAGAGTCGTTTAACATCCACAACTCCGAGGGCAGGTTTTACAAGCATAGAGCAAAAATGATCTCACCGACGTACTATAGATCTGACCTTTTACAACGGGATCAATATTAAGAAGGATTCGTAGATGGGTCAGAGCGCCATAAGCCACTCTAAGTTTCACTATACGTGAATTGATATAATCATTCACGCCACCATCAGCACTTACACAGCTACTCAGATGCGACTATTTTTAACTACTGACTACCAAGAGTGAATACAGATTTCGGGGTTCTTCTAGTCTTGTAAAAGTATTTTTCACTTAGAAGGTCCAAGGTACATGCCCCGTACCTACATACACTGCCAACTGATTAAGTGCGAATTCCATGGCTTGGGTACATCACACAGTAAGACAATATCGTCCGCATACAGTAGGTCGAAAAGTTTTCCTCGAAGTAAATTGTACACCACTATTACCTACATCCATTAGGGCTGTTTCCCGAAAGTTGTCAATGGCAAATTTGGAGACAAATGGTGAGATCGGGCAATCTTGTGTAATTACACTGCTTGAAAAAATGGAGTGCGGTGGTTGTACACCCTCACTCTTCCTTAGTTGTTGTATGTAGGGTCTTCACGATGTTGATACACTCCTTAGATATACGCTTGTCCAACAGATAATCCCAGAGAACAGTCCTGTCCAGCGAACAGAAGGCAGACCCAATATCAAGAAACACGTACCAGTAAGATAATTCGATAAATTGTTAGTTTCTTAACAGTAATGTTGATAAACTATAAAAATTCTACAAGGATTTCATTGTTCGTAATTCCTACAACGTATCTAACGGAGAAGTATACAAATTGTTGGGTACACTATCATCTGTAGAAAATTATTTGATCGTTTTTCTCACAGCGTTTTACAGCTGTTATTCAGATGATCTTATTATCATGCACTTATTCGTCTTTTGATTGCGTTTTGACAAAAAGTTGTAATTCATTTTGAAATCAAGTTTCTCGTAATTGTTTTTAAGGGATTTTATGTTTGTATTTATTTATATGACTTATAAGACTGCGAAAATTCAGTCTAGTATATATAAAGACAAGGAAATGAATATATGTTAATTCCTTTTAAGTATATAGTTGTATTCTACTCATTTTAAAATCTTATATCTGTTGTCATCTACTCAATCACTCAGATTAAGATATTCACTTTTAGCTTAGTTTCTGAATTCTAACGCCGTTTTAAGTTTTGATTGTTATTTTTTCTTAGGACAATCAACTGTCATTAAAATGATGTGTAATCGACTTTTAAATTTCCTCAAAATCATATCCGTAATTCATATAACACTGTGATGTGAAATTTAATTGTCCTTCTTGAATCCAAACGAAATTTCATTTACCACCATACTGTAGACAGATAACATTTTCAACTTTAGAAAACAATCAATCTATTGAAATCATCTTATGTAATTAAATGTTTACCATCGTTTCTCTGTCATAACATAAATTACTTATACTTGTATAATGTTTTTTTTTGCCACTACGTTTTTGAAGTTTGATTTAAGATAATTTTATTGTTGACTGAATAGTCAACAGGATATAGGAAATTGATGTTATAGTCGTAACTTATTTGTTTATTTATTTATTATGATTTATGACTCATGATTATATTTCATTCTCTTCATTCTCTACTACTAGCTTTTATGATATTTACATCACCAACAGTTTCGGAAATACATAATCATAATATTCCATCTTCAACAAATCAACCAATTATTACATCTAATGAAATTCTCTCTAATGAATTGAATACATTTGAGCCATCAATAATCGTAGCAACTAATTCAAATTCAGTTAGTCTATCAAATGATTGTAAAACAAGTTTAACTCATTGAATAATAATTCAGTACGGACAATGTTTTTTTTATATATTGTTTTATTCTTCATTTATAGTTGATGTTCAATTTCCAAGTTTACTTTTTTTCTTCTTCTTCTCCTTCGTTTTCTAAATGGAAGTATGTTGTTGTTTGTTTATTTATTTAAATTTTACTAGAGTCATGTACACTTTTTAGAAATTTAAAATCTATACTATTCTCAAATAACTAAAAGCATATATATATATATATATATATATATATATATATATATATATATATATATATATATCATACTAGGAATTTTCTAACTGTTTAGTATCGTTTTCTCTTGTATTATTACTAATTCTATAATTGAAAATTTTTTATTAGGATAGATTTATTTAAGGAAATTATCTATTGTCTTTTTTAAAGGAAATGTTTGTTTTTGTTTTTATATTTAAATACGCATCCAATATAAGTGACTCAATAAATGTATTCCCCCCCCCAATATGGCAGCCATTCTAAGCAGAGAAAAACAAAATTTAAACAGTTTCTGCTAAAGAAAAGAATAAACGGTGTTTCTCCTCCTTTTTTTGTTTTTGATATTCCCAATTATGGTTGTATTACATCACCTCGTTTGTTTTTTGGATGAATGATTTACGATTAGGTTTCGTAGTTTTTTCATATTATTAGTTAGTAGTGTTATTTTCATTTTAAATAAAGTTTCTTGTATAATGAATAGGATTTTTCAAATAATCATTTGTATTATGTTGGTCAACTATAAAGTTTTGTTATAATGTTGTAATATTTAAATTGAAATGCTCTTTTGAAACGTTGGACACCATTTTTTTTAAAATAGAAATTCATCATTTAGTAATTTAAGTTATTTATTTATAAAATATAAAAAATTATTTATCTTCTATCTTGTAGTCTACTTTCATGAGAGGATTTGGTTAGTTTTATGCGATAAAAATTATATTCATTTATGGTTTATTGTTTAGAATATAGCTGATTTATTTACAGTTTATCCTGTGATTACCTCTAATCTATAGAGGAGCACATTGTAAGAAGTGGTTCTTCTATTTAAACTTGATGAAGAAAACGTGGTAGGTTGGATTCTAGTTAACTGTAGACTCTAGGTATGAACATTTCCGTATTATGACTGACAGTATTCTATCCGCGTTTTATTTTGGACCGTACCTAATCTGAAGTAATTTATCAGTCAGTCAGCTACAACGTACGACCAGACGTATATGTGCATCGGTTCAAGTTCCCATACCTCATTAGCACAGCAAGATTAACACCGAATTCATAGAAGTAATTAATTCATTGGTGGTAATATATAAAAGAAAGGTTGTATATAATAATATAGTACAGGAAGAAAGGTTTAGTTCGCAGAAAGAAATGTATAAAGTACCTTTAATCTTACGATTGAAGGAAAGACAGAGTGTATACACCGACGCCATTGTGATCGATTCTGAGCCATGTCACCCAGAGTCTCCAACCATTGGTTACGATAGTCACGCGGACCTCAACCAAGTAGCCTGTCAGTCAGTCAGTAACAACGTAGAACTTCGTACGTACGTACATCAGTTCGAATTGCCACACCACATTAGCACAGAGTTGCAGTTGTCGATTCAAATCCCGTTGTGGTACCGGTAGTAAGAGTATAAGCAGTAATCGGAAAGATTAGGATTTGAAGATGTTATTTAAAGAGTATAATCCAGTGAAATAAATCCGGACAGAGAAAAAAAGAAACGAGGAGGATTCGAGATTAGAATTTGGGAGAACACAAAGAGTGAATGCATCTGCGCCATTGCAAACGATTTTGAGCCATGTCATTCAAGGTCTCTAACCATCGGTTGCAATCATCTCGCGGTCCCCAACCAGGTAGTCTACACCTACCAACATGACTCAGTTCACTTGTCAGTGACTTCATGTACTTGTGCCATGTTTTGGTCTGGCCGCCCCCTTAGCTTGTTTACTTATTTGAACACATATATATTGGTACAGGAGTGCGCCAAATATATATGCATCCCTAGCTTTCTTCCAACCTACTCCTATACCACTGAACATCGCACGTCGAGGCAGTCGGTCGTTGGGCATACGTAACACGTGTCCCAGCCATCTCAACTGATGAAGTTTCACTACTTCATCAATTGATTTGCCATCCTTACCTAGTACCCGTTTCCTAACAACTGTTACTTACTCGATGGTCCCATGATATACGAGCAATGTTTCGAAGACACCTATGATCAAATACTAGTAACCTACGGATATCCTCTACTCTTACCGGCCATGTTTCACTGCCATAAAGTAGGACGGAACGAACTGCTGCGCAGTAAACACGTCCTTTGGTTGATAGACGGATATCTCGCCTACGCCATAAATGACGCAAGTTGGCAAAAGCTAGTCGAGCCTTCTGTATCCGTGCTGAGATTTCGTCACACACCAACCACAAGGGCTGATGAGACTTCCAAGATAAGTGAAGCGGTCGACACACTCAACTACTTCACTCCCTATCACTAGTTCGGGTGTCGATGTAACCCAATCCTGAAGCAACATTTTGCATTTCGAGGGAGAGAATCGCATCCCGAACATGCTTGCATTGTTGCTTAGAGTGGTCAGAAGACTCTGCATTTTGTCAGCGTCTTCACCAAATAAAACTATGTCATCAGCATATTCTAAGTCAACAAGTGAACCTCCCGGTAGAAGTTCAACCCCTGGAAATTTAGATGAGGAGAGTGTTATCTCTAAAAGTACGTCGACAAAGTTGAACAAGAATGGGGAGAGTGGACAGCCCTGACGAACACCACTTGAGGTAATCAATTCTGATGACAGTTCGCCATAAGCTCTCACTCTACCAGTTGTGTTCGAGTAGAGAGCCTTTATAAGGTTAATGTACTTCTTTGGTACTCCTTTCAGTGACAAACACTGCCATAGAACCTCACGATCAACAGAGTCGAATGCCGCCTTAAGGTCGAGAAATACTACCATTGTGGGGCGTCTGAATGTGTGTCTGTGTTCTAGAACCTGACGTAGTGTGAATATCTGATCTATACAACCACGTCCAGGTCGAAAACCAGCCTGGTTTTCTCTAGTCTGCTCTTCACGAGCTTTGTTAGGCGTCGAAGTATTATTGAAGCTAATATTTTAGACACTATATTAGTCAAACTGATTCCTCTGTGATTGTCACAAGAGGACTTTTGTCCTTTCTTATAGACTGGCACAATCAGTGATTGAGACCAGTCAGATGGGATTACGTCCAGTTCCCAAATTCTACCTAAGACCTCGTTAATCTCATTGCTAATACTGGACCACCATCCTTAAAAATCTCAGGAGTAAACCTGTCAGGGCCTGCTGCTCTCCCTCGTTTCAGATTTCCTATGGCTTTTTCAACTTCGTAAAGGGACGGAGGACCTACATTAACTTGCCATTCAGGTTGACTGGAGATCGTGGGAAACCGAAGTGTGGCTGAAGGCCAGTTGAACTGATCCCTAAAGTGTTCTGCCCATCGATCCAATCTCCTGGATTGAGAATGAATAATATGTCCATCTTTCTCTGAGATTGTTTCGCTAACGGTCGGGTTCCTAATTCCGGTTTCCTTAACGAGTCTGAACAATTGTCTGCTATTACCTATTGCCGCTGCCTTTTCCATCTCTCTTGCTTTCGCTACCCACCACTGTTCGCGATCATTGCGTAGACTTCTTGTCAGCTTGCGCTTAAGCTGACTCCGCTCTTCATTATGTTCAGAGCCAGGTGGAATGAGTTTCCGAGCATCTATCAGTGCGATAGATGCTGCTGAGATCCAGTGTTGCTCCCTAACCTTCTGGTTTACCTTACTAGCAGATATCACTGCTGTTTCCACAGCTTTTCGGATATCATTCCATGCTGCATCGGGGTGGGCATCACATACATGGCTGCCTAACTGTTTTCCTAGTTGTTCCTGAAATATACTCTTAGCTTGACTATCATTAAGTAGGCCCTAAGAGGTTTCCTTGCAGCGTCTTTCCTACGTCCAGTAAGACGCAAGCAAATACGCGCTCGCACTAGAGCATGATCTGAATCTAGGCATGTGCTCCAGAATGAGCGACAGTCTTCTATCGAGCCCCTCCATCGGTGGCTGATAGCGATGTGATCTATTTGGGTCCAACGTTGGGACGAATTAGGGGGTCGCCATGTTAAAAGATGTTTTTCCTTATGCTTAAAGTTAGTATTTGCAAGGAACAGGCGGTTATCTGAGCATAGCTGCAACAGACGGTCGCCATTATCTGTTCTTTGAGCCACGACACCATAAGATCCACCTAGGTGTCTTTCCCTATCGCTTAGTTTACCTACTTGAGCATTAAAGTCACCGGCCACTATTACTACATCCGAGCGCTAGCTTTTCGGAGAAGGTCCGAAAGCTTTCTGTAAAACTCATCTTTTACATCATCTGAGCTGCAGTCAGTGGGAGAATAGGCAGAGACGACGAAGAGGCAACGACGAGTGTCCCTATCTTTTCGGATTCTTACTGTTCCGTTCAGTCGGACAACGCACAAACTTGGTCTCGTGTGCTGTTATGGGTATGAGGGCTGATATCACTTCCCGGCTGCCCACACCGTGAAAGGGTATTTCTTGAGGAACCTGAAAAGGAATTGGATTAGTGTTGGTCTTAACGACCTGGGAGCGTAACCACAGAGCCCAAGGGGCAACTGCTTGAGGCTGGTCGCGGACGGCCATTTGCGAGAGGTTTTTAGCGTGTTAGCGCCGTCCTTCAAAGGGCCTTACCACCAGAGACGGAAATCCATGGGGTAAGGCGAGGTGTGACATTTTTAGGGTCGACCTTTTCTAACGCCACCCCTCCTTGTGGGAAGGCAGCATCGCTGCAGATGCTGGTTGTCTGAGGGAAACACCTTACTGCTGTCACACCTCTACAGTCAGCAGTACGACTTCGCCCTCAGACCTTGAGTTGCTGCGTTTAGTCTTACCGTTATTCAATCGACCTGCCTGGCATAGTAGAACCTACAGGAACATATGTTCCAGCCAATATAGCTCGG